ACACGTGTATTCTCAGGAAATTCATGACATGCAAACTTTTGGTCAATAGCAATTTCCCAAGAAATGTATGCATCAGGATCATACTTACCATCAAAAGGAGGTATTTTAAATTTAATTTTACTGAAACCATCATTATTATTGGGCACCTCGCGTCGGCGGTGACCACCCATACCTCTACGATTATGGCGTAGGTGACGCCGGTCACGAGTGTCATGAGCATCATGTTCAGTATCAGCAGTATAATCATCATCATAATTATCTTCGAGTCGCTCTTCGTCCTTGTTGTCTTCATTATGCTGCTCTTTGTCTTTCGTGTGGAAGTCATCAAAACGCTTCAGAAGAGCAGCAAGGCTTCTGTCCATACGGGCAACAGATGCCTCCAATCTGGTAAGCTTGGTGGTGGTGGCAAGTTGGGTGGCCTCCAATTGCCTAATCTTGTCATTGGTCACCTGCAAATCTTGATCAAGTCCTTCTATATGCAGCTGCACTTGCCTTGTAAAATGTTGAATGATGCCCTTGGTGTGAGGAGATTGTGGCATCTTGTTAACATTCTCTGACCCTGACATGGTTTAAAAGACAAGGACAACAAGAAAACAGATGAAGAAATAAAAGCCCGACAGCTATTAGGATGTAGCTACAGCAAGACGCTTACTCTCAACACGTTACACAAGCTCTTACCAATTCTTACCTTGCTCAATAGGAGGGGACGGCAACCAACAAGTCTACAACCGTGGAATGAAGTGTATCGATGCCGCAACAACAACACCTGTCAAGCTGTAGTCGAAATATATGGAGCTGTAGGTGGGCTGAAGCAAGGAAGTACTAGTACCACGTTAGTCACAAAAGCAAGCTGAATAATCATTCAACAGTGGTACTATGCTGGTCCTAGCCTAGACCGTGCTAGAGGCGTGAGCCTGGACACAAAGGAAGTCACAACACACCACCGAAAACAATGGAGAAGCACAGCGAACAGCCCCTTTTCTTTCTATTTTTTCTTTCTTTTCTTTTTTCTTTCCTTTTTTCAGGGGGTCCTCAAAACTGATTATATAAACAAAAAGACTTCACAAGAGTCACACACCACACAAACTTTTTCCTAAAGGACAGGGGTATTCCGGTAAAAAATAGATACTCTCTCTCTGGAGTAAAACCGAGCCAATATGTATGCACAATGTGGAGGAGTCGAGTACAGGTATGGACTTCTGCTGCCTTTCTGGAACACTTCAATATATGTAGCACAAGTGCAAACAGCAACAAGATTTGGTAACACGGCGCAACAACCAATTCGGACTCCACACCGATTCCAACTCGGTCTTTAACAAGATTAGGACTCTGGAGTAAGCTGAGCTAATATGGATATGTTGGATGTGGACAAGTTGAGTATAGATATGAACTACTGCTGCACAAAGATGTACTCAGATGCGGACTCAAAACAGCAACAAGGCAGCTATCAATTCGGACTCAAAACCAACTCAGATTCCTACTCAGACTTGAACACAAGGATGTATTCAAATTCAGCTAACATAAGGTTTATATGGTAGCACACGACTGTGACTAGAACGTGACAAGAACTCGAAACTCTAAAGGACTAAAACTAATACCAGTAACTCGACACAACCGATGCAAACCGAAAACTCAACAAGCCCTAACTAAGCAGTGCAAGCAAAGACTCAAAGGGTTTATAGGATTGTGGCTAAACTAACATACTATTTTTTGGCTTTTCTAGACTATAGGAAAAATTAAAAATAGCGAAGGATTCGAAGTCTCTCACTGATAAACCTTGCTCTGATACCAACTGGTATGAACCCGCTAGGGTTGAATCCCGATCTTTCGATGAGAGGGCGTGGGATAACTCGATTGGTGGACGGAGACGACGTTCACGGCCCGACTACAGCCTTCCAAGCTGCGCCTTAGCAATCGATACACCATCTCCAATGGCTGCCGCGATCTTGTGGAGCGCGTCACCCGGCCACTAGGGCACTCGTCCTGTAAACAATCGAAGAACTAGCAAGAACAAGTATAACAAGTACTGAATTTACTAGATGAAGATGAAGGTTTAAAACTCAATCTCAAATAAGGTGAGGTTCCGGAGACAAGAAGTCGGAGCGAGAGCTAAACTTGATCTAAACAAAACCCAACTGTTCTTAGTGGTAGCTAAGGGGTATATAAAGGTGGAAGGACGACCACCAGGGTGTTGGGGTCATGCTCCAACCCTAGGACACGTCCCTAATGGACCCGACTTGATACATGGCCCATTGGGCCAAACTAAGGCGACGCAACACCTTTGGATAGAAAATCTCTCGGTAGTAATTCGGTCATTGCGGCCGCCTCAGAACAGATATGGACTTGATTCCAAATCCATGTGAAAATAGACTTCATAAGGATTCCATAAAGTACTTGAACGCCCCAATCCGAGTCCGTATGTGACCGTGGTGACCATCACAAGTTGGAGCTATCCTGGAGTCTGAGTCCAGCCTACGCGAATCATTTTCCTTTCGGTCCTCTCCTTGGTTCCTAACCAAAACAAGAGTGCACACGTCTCCATGGTCTAAATATGATGGACAGGAACTCAAGAGTGAACTTACTTGATGATTAAGTTGACGAGTACGGGCGCAAGTAATAGGACCAGAAACTGGTACTTGTGTTGGCGTGGATGTATTGTTGGTGTTGATATCCTCATCACCAGCTAAATGTACATCGATTGCAATCGCCGCCCTCCTCGAATATGGATACCACTTGTCATTTCACTATCATCGTAGCTAATACAACTGGAATATGGAGACGATGAGGCTTCTACCAGATGATGAAAAATATTTTGATTGCTTACCACATGCTTGAAAGTAGTTTAGGTGCTTACCTAAACTGGTTAAGGAATAAACTTGATGTGACTGCTAAAACCTTGGATATAAGGATGCACTGTTAGTAATGCTTCTCTGCAAAACGACTAAATAGCTATCCAAATAGCCCCATGCATATCCTTGAGAGTCGGGAGGCTACTCCCACCTAGTCGGGTAAGTATTGCAGAGTACATTGTGTACTAAGGGTTTTATTCCCCCTGTTGCAGGTAGCAGCTGGAGCTACCAGTTGCTGTGTGTGGATACCTCCTAGTGAGCTCAGCCAGGCTTCCTTTATCGTCTCGACTGTAGAAGTTTTATTCTTATATTCCTATTTCTGCTTCAATATTCAAAATTGTTTACTTCCGCTGCTTTGTATAAAATAACCCTTCTTCCGCTGCTTATATGAAATATGTTTTGAAATAACTCTGATTTTTATGTAATCTCATGTATGAATTGGTTAACAATTGATGTAAGTTTTATTCACTTGTTTATGATCTTGATGAAAATGTGGATTTTCGAGTTCTCTCGTGGAGTGTGCTTGACATACTACCGGGTTTAACTTGGTCTCTTTATGTACTTAGTGTTAAATGCCTGACAAGTATACTTAGGATTATGTTAAATTGACGGTTCTGCCACATAATGCTATGGGTGTAATCCTGTAGATGCTATAAAAAAGACTCCTTGTACCTATTGTTGATTATAGTAGAAGCTTGGAAGTGGATCGGTTGGTCCCATGATTTTTACTCCTCACCTTAAGGAGGTTTTCTACGTAAATTATCGTGTCTGTTGTGTATGTGATTGTTAATTTTGATGTTGATCTGATGGTAGATGTTCTCAAGATTCATCACATGACGACAGGTTAATTGGGCATTGTTTCTATCCTTTTATCCCAACAATTTGTACTCATGTAATTAGATGAATTTAACAAAGCGGGTTGCCACACCCATGCTGCAATGCACCATCTTCTCTATCTGATCCTTGTGTCACGTATCATTTCAATACCTTAAGACTGACTAGCGAATGTCGCAATGGAAGAAAAAACATGGCCTAAAACTTAATTATGAGAATTACACATGATTGTTAGGCAATAATATTTATTTGCATATATTTAAAAAAGTGCTATGAAAATTGTAGAATTAAACCCATAATTTAAACTTACTTTAGACTAATGCCCTGTTTACTTGGCTGATAAGTCATGGTTGAAAGTACTGTTGGCTGATTTATTATGAGAGAAAAATACTATTTGTTGACTGAAAAAATACGGCTTATAAGCCAAGCGAACAGGCGTAAAACTTTTCCTTCAGTTCGTTGTAGCCCAACGGTTTAAATTAAGGGAAAAAAAACAACTTCGTGAACCGACCTTAGGTCCAACTTCGTTGTTTGCATTTGACGCTATTCAGTAACACACGTTTCCCACAGACCTTAGGTCCAAAAACCTAAGCCTGGACCACAAATTTGCCATGACGCGCCACCTGCAATATTCGATCTTGGGCCGTTCGTATGAGGTCTTTAAATTAATCTAGATTACTAGATGATCATAAAATCCCGTGGTGTCTCTGAAGCCCTGCTTGTCCATGGGAGAGGCACAGCAGGAGCAACTTAGGCCCGCTGTCATTAGTAGATGGGGAAAAACAGTGAAATCATCAAACTGCAACAAACTAAATTTTATGGATTAAGTTGAGGATCCAATCACCGGTTGAGTACAGAGGAAAACTGTTGTACCTGTGAAGAACAAAACAGGTATCATCTAGTTTGAATCTTAGAAAATAACTGTTTGTTTAGGGTGAACGGCTCTGCTGCATTGTTATGAAATTACAGGGACTGCTGAACGCCACAATATCAACATGAATAGATTGTGAAAAACAGTAAGGACTTGAATTTGATCAATCCGAATTCCTTCACTAATTGAACAATGGTATCTCATAACACATTGAACAATGGTATCTCATAACATGCTAACATCACATACTGATGCAGTCAACACCCTCATCACAAACATGAAAGGAAAAGAACCTATCCACCTGAGATGCACAAGTCACTAATTGGCATAAGAAATCACATGCAGCATCGGTGTCATACATCATGGCAAGAAGATATACCTTTCTGAAAAAGCTATGCAAAAAGAAAAATGACTGGGAAGTGGCTTCGCCAAATGATTATCTTGATCTATGGTACTCGTTTTGAAGTGCTGCTAGCTCTTGCTGGTGGAGTTGCTTGAGTGGTGGTACTTTTTCGCGCACCTGTTGTGACTGCAATTATGGAAAATATGATGTAAAACTAACAAAACGGTATGTGCATATGAGACAACATGCACTTTGGAAAAATTAAACTGCACAGAAAATAAAGAGAATTGAATAGCCCCAGGGAGTAATAGTAAAAAATGCCATGACCACCGTTCTTTGTCAAGGTTTCTGTGAGCTGTCGAAGAGTCACGCTCACACGTATACAAGAAACTTTAAGACTTCCAATATTATTTCTTTATTTTTGAACTGAAGAGCTTCGATAAAATTGTATCACAGTACTATATTAGATTGCTTGCATCAAGAGTTGGCAAGTTGCATTGCCATATGGATATAATTCTTTCATGGCCTGCTTTATTCCCTTTTAGTATGTATAGCTTAATTCAATTAGTCAAGATAATTTGTTCTAAAAAAACCTTGTCAAGATGATCATAATGTTTGGCAATGCAAGCACAGATTAGAGGCAAATCCATGTACAAACAAATGTTGACATAGACATCTGTTTGGTACATTCTATGAGTGTTCTCCTATTCATATCAAGTTAATCATCTCTAAAACTACTGAGTCAGACTCAGATCCATTTTACCACAAACATCAGCTCCTCAAGATTAGCATTCCCATGAAATTAAGTTGTAACAGAAGTGCAAGCTTAGAGGTATCTTACCTGAAGATTTAGGTGCAGAAGGATCTCTTGGTTTAGGCCGCAAGCTTGATGCTTGGCCGACTTTTGGTACTGTTAGCTTCTGGACTCGACTTACTGCTTTGGCTCTGCATGAGAAAGAAGTCAAAGAACGAAGAAGTTACAGACAACAGCCAAGGCCAGAAACCATTCTGCAGAATTTGCAAGAGCTAAATGACAAATGAGCGAAAATATTATTAGATCTAAGATTATGGAGAACTGGTAATACTCACAACCGCTCTTTTCCAGCAGTGGATGTTTTCTCTTGTTCTTGGTCCACAACGTTGTTAACTGAACTGTCAGTTTCTGCACCTGCGGGTATACCGCCATCTGATACATCACTTAGCCTTCCATCTGAATCACCACCAGGATCAGCAAAGTTCTGGCCCAGCTGTCGGGCCTCATCAGTAGAGAGCATGGACCCAGCTTCGGAATGCCTATCACTGGTGTCAGAGAAGTTGTCAAGATCAGAAGCTGCCCCACTACCAAAGCTTGCCACCTTTCCTAGGGATGTCATTCCTGGAGAAGAGGCCGAATGCTTCAACAAGGAGTCACCATGTTTCGTGGACTTCAGTAAGGAGTTGCTACTGTTGGCTAGTTGCAGCCGATCAATTTCATCATCCTTCTTTGCAATGGTATCTTTGAGCAGTGAAAGCTGCAGGTGAAAAGTTAGATGTCAACAACTGTATGTTTCCTTCTGGATCAAATTCAGCCACCTAGATGACATATTTTGAACATGACATTCTTGATTTCTTTGCATGTCTAAAAGTCAAGTCATGACCTTGACATGTTGCATCTACTGTTTCATATCAATCGTCCTAGCATGGATCTAAGTGAAGGAAAAGAAAAATAAATGATTACCTGATCCATTAATTCTTTGACATCTTTGCCCTCCTTGTTAGTCCTTGCAACACCTAGTTCTACACCAGACACACGTTCAGCAAATTTCAGTGTACTTAAAGTCTCAGTGTATGACGAAACATCTGGGTTGACTTGCACAAACATTAGAGTCTTTGCATGCCCACCTACACAAGAAAACTTTTGCGTGTCAAGAAACCATATACAAAATTATGATGTAATGCAACCTAAATTTCTAGCAAAGAAGATCACCCAAAGAAGTTTGTAAGACTTGTGTAAGCTTGCTATTTCTGTATGGTACATGAGCATTCTTTTGTGACAAAGAAAATATAACATCCCCGAGTGCAGCCAAAGACTTGTTGATGTGCTGTGCTTCTTTGAGCCTGTCTCCTGTAACTGCAGATCGGTCCACCCTTTCACTTCCTGCAAGGTCCACAAGATGCAGAGCACCACGCAAAGTGTTACCGGTTTTCAAATCCTGGCCCTGGACATGGATGGTCACAACACTGCACAAAATAAATAAATAAATAAATTGCCCACAAGCAAGGTCTCTTTATACAAAAGACAAGCAGCACAAGTAACTTACCTGTGAGATCTGCTGCTCCTCTCGTTCAAGGCTGTTGCACTCATGGATCTATTGTTGTGCCCTGTTTGCATTAGTTCAATAACATGAGAAGTCGAATCAACAGGACACATTGTTGCATCAGGAACTGCAAGTCCATTGGGCTGGGTGGTATTCTGGATCCCTAGTGTGCGCAAGTTAAGGAAAAGGAGTGGTTTGTAACAACACTTCAGTCAGCAAAAAGCAATGGATTAAATTCCTACAAGCAGAATGATGGCAGTAGAATCTGAAAAAGCATAGCAATGTGTAACCAACTGCAATTTGAAAGTTTTAATATGGTATTACTTAACTCGTTGAGGTTTTAGAGAAACTCAGTTTTTTGGCATGATATATTGAGTTGTTGACTGGAGTCTTCCTGCAGCCAAGTGCTCCTAAATGGGATACCAAGGAAATTCATCTATCGCCTGTGGGGACTACGACAAGGAGATCCTCTCTCTCAAATGCTGTTTCTACTGATCACGGATACTTTATAACATGAGCTTTGGGCCTTTTTTTCTGAAACGATCAAGCTTTGGGCCTTAAAATAAATATACAAAAAAAGGAATGTGCTGCCTAGCCGGTATTCTTGTGATGACAATGCAAGAGTACAGGAGTTACTTCCTTGTGGGGTGATGGATTTCCCTTGCAAGTACCTAGGCTTGCCACTCTCCCTGAAGAAGCTCACCAAGTCCCAGTTTCAACCCATCATTGATTGTATAGCTGATCAACCCCCAGGGTGGAGGGCAGACCTCATGACAAGAGCTGGTCGGGCTGTTAAGCTTCAGTACGTCATGACCACTCTCAGCTTGTTTACTTAGCAATGGCAATTGATCTTCCTCCTTGGGTTATTAAGGCTATTGATAAAATCAGAAGTTTCCTTTGGTGAGGGAGGAAGTTAGCCAATGGAGGTCACTGCCTAATAGATTGGCCCAAGGTGAGCCACTCACTAGCTCAGGGGAGCTTGGCGGGCTTGGTATTTCTGACAAATGTCTTGGATGGGCATTACAAGTGAAATGGTTGTGGCTGCAAAAGACTGACCCAAACAAGCCATGGTCGATGTTCTCAATTCAGATAAGTGGCTGCATTCAATCTCTCTTCCCTCTAGCAGTGGTTGCAGAGGTTGGTGATGATGGCACCATGTTATTCTGGAAAGATAGATGGTTGTTTGGGCAGCAATTGAGGATTTAGAGACTATATGCTCTTGTGCCTAAAAGAAGTGCCACTAAGGGAACAGTATTATAAGCTATCACAAACCAGCCATGGGTCCTTGATATCCAGCGTGCGTTATCAATTGGTGCTATTGCCGATAATCTTGCTCTCTGCGATTTGCTTGCTGAAGTGCAGCTGCAATTAGGTGTTCCAGATAAGCATATATGGCGCTCTCAAGCTCAGGCCAATACTCAGCTAAGTAGGTTTACAATGCTTTATTTCAAGGTGCTGTTAGTTTTGGTCCTTGGCAGTGCATCTGAAAATCTTGGTCACCCAGAAAATGCCATTTCTTCCTCTGGCTGGTGGTTCATAATTGCTTCTGGACAGCCAACCGCTTGGCACAGAGAGGTCTTCCACATCTTGGGACCTGCCAATTTTTTGATCAACAGTCAGAGACTATCCAACACCCAATAGGTGTAATGCGCTTTTGCCCGGCAATTCTAGTATTTTCTCTTGCAAAGAGTCAGGCTTGCTGTCCTCTCCCCTCAACCCTTGGAGAACTCTTTTGATGACTAGGTGGTGTAGAGCTTGTTCTGCTGTGGGTGGTCCCATCCAACAGCACCTGAACTCGCTCATCATATCAGGTGCATGGAGTTCGTGGAAACACAGAAATGACGGTGTTTAATGGTGCTACTCCGAGCCTATCTAAGGTCTTATCTCTCCATGGGAGGAATCACAGCTTTGGGTTATGGCATGAGCTAAGGGGCTCTCCTTCCTTACCACCTCTACCACAGGTAGTTAAGTTTGTACGTTGGGTCCTTGTCTTCCTCCTTTTAACAGACGCAAATGTAATTGTCATATAAGTTGGGGGAGCCCGGGGGGGGGGGTGTTAGTAATTCTCTTATTTCATTAATGCAATGAATACATACCTTTCCTTCATAAAGGGCGTACCAGTGCTGAGAGCTCCCGCTCTGTGCGGGGTCTGGGGAAGGGTGTCGGTGGCAAGCCTTACCCTCGCCTGTGCAATGCGAGGAGACCGCGACTCGAACCCGGGACCTTCCAGTCACAGGCGGTAAGACTCTATCGCTTGCACCAGGCCCGCCCTTCACATACCTTTCCTTCATATTCAAGAAAAAATAAAACTATAATGCATAGCAAAAGTGGGCTAATAGCAGTTATGGATTGCATAACAAAAACATGTACTGAAACAAGCCTTGAATAAAAAGGATATTTCTTCTGCGAGCCACCGGTACCAAGTAGATCACGGATTTGCTCGTTGTAGATCTCAACCATTTGAACACCAAGTTCATATTTAATTGTGTCTCGCCGATCATGTGAGATATTGAAAAGGTCATTTAGTGCTCGATAGTTGACACCCCATTCTTTCTCAGTTGCATTTTCAGGTCCCATCTGGGCAATTCATTGAAACAAAGTATTGTGAATATATCCTCCATTGTAGAGGAATCTAAACAGATTAAAAAATAATTCAATCCTGATAGCTTCATACCATTGTATGTGTTTTCCCCGATCCAGTTTGACCATATGCGAAAATGCAAACATTGTAGCCATCAAGAACTGATCTAATTAGTGGCTGAATATCCTTGAAAACCATATCTATATAACAAAAAAAGAAAGAAAGATATCACAACAAATGTATAACTCAGTGCTATTTTATGAGTACTTATAACAATTAAATAGATTCAGCAAAAGATATATTTTTTGTTTCATTGTCATGAGCACCTTGTGTAGTTGTAGGGCCAAAAACTTTGTTAAAAGTGAAATTCTTGCCAGCTTCCTTTCCCTTCTTTGTAGGGTTTGATAAAACCAGTTCACCATTCTCACCAATATATTCAACTGAAGTGGACTTCTCATCCTCCCAGGGTCGAAAAGGTCTTATCCGGCAATAAACTCTGATATTTCCTGCTCAACAATACTACGTTAAGCTACTATTTTTGAGCTTGCAGTCTTATGTTTGACATAGATAAACCAGACAAAAGGAACTGATGTTTACAGTTCAAATAGGCACCTTTCAGTTCCTGGATCTCGTTGAATAATTTTCTATTATCTGCAAGAGTTGCATGATATTTTTCTGCAGCACTTGTTACCATCTTAAGATTTTGTCCTGTAGAAAATTAAATCGAAATTTTAGAACTGACCTATTGGTGAAATAACATTATGCAAATGTAGGCCATAACTAGTCACAAGGATTCATTCTCACCTAGGCCAGCAAGTTCTTCAAACCATCTTTTTTGACAATTTAGTACTTCAAGCCTAACAGAAACAGAAGAGAGCCTCAATTCCTGAAGAAAAAGAGCGCTATAAACTTGAGTTCGCAAATATTCACCGTAGGGATAAAAAAGAAGGGTGGGGGGAGGGAGTGGTTTGACCAATACCTGAGCATTCTTTACTTGCAAACCCACAAATTTGTTTACCGCTATTTCCTTCTGCTTCCAAAATTGGATTCTAGATTCAGTAGATTCCTCAAGTTCTCTTCTCCTCTTGGTAGAATCTTCTAACATGAGTTCTATTTCTTTTATCCTCTGTTCGAACTCCTTATTTACTTTGGCAGCTTTGTTCTCTAATTGTTGAGTCTCTGCCTCATGCACCTTTTTTGTTGCCTCAAGTTCTTGCCTGAGTTGCAAAATTATGTTGTCATTCATTTCCTTGTCTGTGACAAGTTTAACTACATCTTCCTTCTTAGATTCTAACAACTTGCTGCTCTCCTCATATGATGATCTTAATGATTCGAATTCCTGCTTAAGTTTCATAATAGTATCTCTATAATCCTCCTCCTCTTTTGTTTGTGCCTCATGTAACTTTTTTGTTGCCTCAAGTTCTTGCCTGAGTTGCAAAATTATGTTCTCAGTCATTTCCTTGTCTGTGACAAGTTTAACTACATCTTCCTTCTTAGATTCTAACAACTTGCAGCTCTCCTCATATGATGATCTTAATGATTTGAATTTCTGCTTAAGTTTCATAATAGTATTTCTATAATCCTCCTCTTTTGTCTCTGCCTCATGCAACTTTTTTGTTTCCTCAAGTTCTTGCCTGAGTTGCAAAATTATGTTGTCATTCATTTCCTTGTCTGTGACAAGTTTAACTACATCTTCCTTCTTAGATTCTAACAACTTGCAGCTCTCCTCATATGATGATTTTAATGATTCGAATTCCTGCTTAAGTTTGATAATAGTATTTCTATAATCCTCCTTCTCTTTTGTCAACCTAATTATCTCACCTTTTTCCTTTATCGACCTGTCTGCCTCTTCACCTGTTGATTGTTTTGTGTCTTCAACATTACCTTTCTTCAAATCAGATTTATCTTCCTTCTCCTTCATCAATCTGATTAGATTTTCCTTCTCTTGCAGCAACTTAGCAATCTCTGCCTTCTCAGATGTTAACATGGAAATGGCATCATTGTTCTCCTTGATCAACCTTTCTCTATCGTCATCTATTGCTTGCTTCCTATCCTCAACCTTGCCACTGGCTAAGTTGAGCCTATCTTCCTTCTCCTTCATTAGTCTAATTATATCTTCCTTCTCCTTTAGCAACCTAAGCATGTCTTCCTTCTCTTTTGTCAGTTGGACAACAATTTCATCCTTCTCTTTTGTCAGTCGGACTACAACATCATCCTTCTCCTTAAGTAACTTATCTTTATTCTCATCTGTTGTACGCTGTGTATCTTCGAATGTGACATCTTTCATATCAACCATGTCTTCCTTATCCTTCATTAGCCTAATTATATCCTCCTTCTCCTTCAACATCCGAATCATATATTCCTTCTCTTGTGTCAACCTAACTACAGTATCATCCCTCTCTTTAAGTAACCTATCTACTTTATCATTATTCAAGTCACCCATATCTTCCTTCACCTTCAACAATCTAACCATATCTTCCTTCTCCTTCAGCAACCTGATCATATCTTCCTTCTCTTTAAGCAAACTAACCATGTCTTCCTTTTCTTTCATCAATCTTACCAAATCTTCCTCATACTGCATTATTCTAGCCATATCATCCTCTGCTAGTTGGCCCTTGCCTTCAAGTTTGTCTTTCTCCACCTGCATAATTAAAGTGAACTTCCATGAATTGAGTCACTCAATTGGTTCTCAAGCCGCACATATTCAAATGAATGGATTGCCATCTCAGCTACTATTTTTAAGCTACAACAAAGATAAACAGATGAATTACCCAATTATTTAACCATTTGACGGTGATGCCAGGATCATGGGAAAAAATACTCACAAAGTGCAGACAGTGCAAAAAATTCTGGGAAAAGCAGCATATAGATAGTTGGTTCATTGAAGGTACAAGAATTTACATGCGTTTGTCCACTTGCCCCACCAGCCAGTGCTTCTAGCACTCTTATCCTTGACTGATACTTCTCTTCACGAGCTTTAATCAGGTTATTTTGCTGCAGACAAGTAAGAAATCACAAAGGAAAAAAGAAAAATAGTGGCAAAACGAAGCCAAATAGTAATTGGTCTCACATTTCGTATGTGCCCGGCCTGAGTAGAAATACGCCTTTCAATCTCCACTATGACCTTTCTCAGCAGGCAAGCAATGCGCTACAGTGAAAGTTTGAACATTCATTTATACAAGGAAAGGTGTTAAACACATACAGCTCTTAATTTTATTAAATGTGGAAAGAACAAAATGACTACATTGATTTTTTGAGAAGCCTACATAAGGTATTTGTCCATTCTTCCTCTCGATGCTCTCATCGAGGATGCTGTTCACAACACCTAAAAGTGACTGGGTGGGAGCGTTCTGCACAAATAAGTAACACAGTCAACGTTATTAGCATGTGAAGTCAGTGCCAGAGGATGAAATAAATCCTGTCTATTGTTCGAGTGAAGATCGCAGCACGGCTCTTACCTCCAAGCTCGAGGATTTCATCAATTCAGAAAGTTTACAGCCAGGTGGATCAGAATATCCATGTTTCGGCTGAAATACCTGTGATGGAGAATAGGCATCGGCTCCAAAGGAAGGAGAGTATGGCTCTGGAAACAAGCATGACAAAAAGAAATGTTTGAACCAGCAATCTGAAGCTACTCTGTAAATGAGCAGTTGTCATTGTCTTAACATTATCCAAACAAGGCATTGTTTATACCTGACACAATGGGGCTTGTGAGTACCCTTTGCAGCTTGCCTCCCATGCTCCTCCTGCTTCCTTCGCTGTCACATCTGGTGAGGAAGGAAGAGCTGTGGTGGTCTTCGCTGAGGCGTGATGGGAACCGATCCTTTAGAGCAAGAATGCAGGTAACGACAGCTGACATTTCCCCCTGGATGGACGGACGGACGATGGATGAATTGCCGGCAACGTCAATGAAGAAGGAAAACAATTTAATGCCGTGGCGAACGAGAAGGCGACTAACCCTCTCGAGGTCATAGGCGCTGAAGGTGGGCACGCCCATCCGCTGGATGGCGGCGCGGAACCTGCCGGCATTGTCCGTGGCCGCGTCGTCCAGCAGCGCGCCGGGCAAGAGCCTCCGCAGGAGCGCGCAGAGCAGCCTACCATTGCCGACCACGGCGCGCAGGTCTTCATCGGTGGCCTCCGGCGGCAGCGGCAGGTCCGGGAACAGGGAACGCAGCCACCCGACGGCGTCCGCCCGCCGCCTCGCTGCGCGGCAGCAATCATCACCATCAAGTAACCGATCAGTCGACAGATTAACCTCCACGAAGCAACGGTGAACAAGAAATGGTAATCAGTGTCGATCGTTACATGGGTCTGGCGCGGCATTGGGCTCGCGTGGGAACATGGAGGAGGGGTGGAAACGAAGCGGCGGTGACGGCCGCGCGCGGGATATAAGGATGCTGCCATGGACGAGGTTGGGGAGCAGGTGAGGTCGGGAGGGAATGGGGCGCGCGGGAGGCGCGGAGGCCTCGGCCGCGTGTGCCTAACTGCCTATGCGGCCCACTATCTCCCTTCCGTCAACCTCCGGTCTCCCGGCTCCGCCTATTTTCGGGTTTCGGGTGGCGGAGGCGGAGCGGAGCCGGGACGGCGCGCAACGCGAGGGTGAGCAGGAGCCGGGAGAGCCCGGGAGGCGCAGTAGGGGAGGGTGGGGTAGTGTCCGGCGCGGCGGCAAACGGCTGCTAAACCCGACGTGACTGGTTCCGCTTCCACCGTCGACGGCGGGGCAGCGCCGCCGGCTTGGCCGCTGCGGTCTGCGGACCGCCTCGCGCGCGCCAGGGTCGGACCTCGGGCCGGATAGTGGCGCACAGCCGCACGACTGGTTTTGGGCCGATCTTGGATGTCCTGCAGCCCATGAATCCCAATGGGTCTACTGAAGTTTCGTGGGCTGTCCTGCACGTACCGGCCCCTTTTTGACCCTCAACTTTTATCACCCGATTTTTTTTGAAGCATTCGTCACCCAATTTTCCTTCCTCATCTACCAAACCTTTTCCTGGTCAGTGGTCACCTTAAATTTTTGAAACCGTTCCCCTCAAAAAAAATGAAACTGTTTATTTTTACACTTTGAACAATTTTGATGGTTTATGCAATTAAAAAACATTAAAATCCGATTTAATCTTAAAAATAATAGAAAATTTGATTCAGCTCAAAGAGTATGAAAATAATTATATTTTTTTCTAAAATCATTATCTATGTTATCGTGCCTAAATTAAGATTAATTAAATCTTGACTTCTGTTGGTGTTTATTTGCTAGTAGATGCACTCGTTATATATTATAATCGGTCTACGTTGACGATCGAGTGACTTTGATGACAACACAAGTGCCATGTAACCATATCCTATTTGAGACAAATTTAGTATGAACATAAGTGCCACATGATCATGTTCGTGTCACTTGATCCTATCTATACAAACATCATGATCCGTGTGCTACCATCGAGATTTTTTCCTGCTACAATCGCTCCATAGTTCATTGTATTAAAATTTAATTAAATTCAATAATTTGTAAAACTTAATTAAATATACTAACCGAATGGGTGTATGCATGGATATGTGTGTGACAGGGTGCATGCAGGCACGCATGCTAACACAGCTATTTTAAAAAATTATTGGAAGAGGACCTCCGCCCACTACAGTCCTAACAACGTTCCACCCGCGCTTCTACGTAGTTTGGATGATCAACATTAAGTAATTATAATAGATAACAAGAGCTTCTAATGACAAATAAGTGCCAAAAATGAGTCCGTCAAGATTCAACCAATTCTAACATAGGTAACATAAAATAGAGCATGATTTAGAAAAAAAAAGAATTTTTAGAGCTAGATTTTTGGATTTGTTCTATATTGCATTATTTTCCATGTAAAAGTACTGAATAAGTTTTTTAATTTTAAGTGATTTTTAATTTTTTTAGAAAAAATTCTAGTCCGATTACCTCATGAACTTTCAACTTTAGTCTAGTTTACTCCCTTCATGGCTGGCATGGCGGCCACATCAGTACAAAACACCATCAAAACAGGATGAAAAAACAAAACGGTCTAGTTGAGGGGGTTTGAAGAACTGTTTTTGCGGGTGAGAGAGGAAAATCCCAAGTTGAGGATGGTTACAAGGACTTTTTATTTGACTGGTTGATTAACGCGACAACATTTTGTTCTTTGTTCTTTATTCTTTTGGCGACCGACAACATTTTTTCTTCGGTTTTTTTCTTTTCTTTTGCCGACCGGATTGCTGCAGTACAATAAAGTCCGAGGACAAAATGGAGTTGAAAACAGCGCCAACTTCCGAAGAGCGAGCGAGAGAGACCGTGGTTGGAAGGACTTGTTTAGCTCCTCTTCGAACATTTACTATTCTATGGTATTGAATATCACACACACACATATATATATACAGAGAAGTATTAAATATAGATTAAAAATAATTAATTGTACAGTTTATGACTAATTTACGAGATGAATCTTTTAAACCTAATTAGGCCATGATTTGACAATGTTGTGATACAGTAGCACATGTGCTAATGACGTATTAATTAGGCTTAATAAATTCGTCTCGCGGATTACTGGTGGATTATGTAATTTATTTTTTAATAATACCCTATGACACTATCGTATGACAGCACCAGGCTCTGCTTCCTGCTATACTGCTCTGCCTGTCCCTTTTCCGCAGGTGCAGTGCAGGAGCCTTTTCCTCCGTGGTGCGGCACTTGATACGATGAGAGATGCAAAGGATGCAGAGGTAACCCCTCACCTGATGATCCTCATGAATCGTCGACGTACGCATCCCAGTGATCACGTTCACGTCCAATTCCAATGGGCGGCTCGAACTCGAAGCAGCGTGCCACTTGCGACCACGGACGGAGCACAGTGGAGGCTAAACTGGGCTCCGGCCCTCCTTATCCAAAGCAAAATTCTCAAATATGGCTTATGGTCACTTGCATTTTGTGAAATGTGACCCAACTATAAATATATATAACTAGCTAGTTTTAGTCCATAACTTAGTTAAGAGTAGTTTGACAGTCTCTGTAGTTATTTTATATATGATTAGTTAAATTTATCATAGTATATATGATTTTATTTCTGATGTCAACATATTTCACTTGTGTTTTTATCAAGTTGGCCCCCCCTTGATTTTGTGCCGTGCTCCGTCGCTGCTTGCGACGGCCATCAAATTAAATTAAACCCGGATCTTGCAAAGCATCACAGCGCTGTTTGCCGGGTAAGGTTTTCGCCTTTTCGGTTCTTTATACCCGTAATAACCTGCAAAGCGTGAAAGAGGAGAGTTGGTTATCCGGTTATCTTATCTCCTTTCTTCCCCAAGCGTGCTGCTGGCTGCCGCCGGCTGCTGCTTCCCTACAATGCTAAAGCATGCGCTGACACACACACATAGATGCAATAGATATCCCAAGATCTTTTCCATACGCCAAGCCAGAGAAAAAGGACGCTCTTTTCTCAACTACTGTAACCAGCAGCACTAGTAGTAGTACTAGCTTACTTACTATTTTCCTGTTTGCAATATATCCAGAATTAAACAAAACAGCACGGCTCACTGTCCACACTGTTTCTTTCTTTCTTCTTCTTCTTCCTGGTACACAAACGACTACTATGAAAGTGCTCGGGATAATAGTAAGCACTATTCAGTGTCTCAGACACAAAAGGGATTAAAAGGAAGAAAAAAAGGGATTAAAGGGAGGATATAAATTTTGCTACTACATCTACGTGCTTATTATTATGATATACTATGATCTTTCGGACGTCTTGTAGCGAATGGATTTGCAGACCTGCCAATTTTGTCATATTCGTTCGTGCGCTAAACAAGGACTACATAGTGTAAGTAGCCGACAGTTAATTTTAATAAAGACAATCAAATGATGAGTGCCTCGTACCTGATAATAACAAGGAAAGCAGTAGCCAATATAAAAGTACAACTTGACACAAAATAATTTATATATAAAAAAATAAAGAGTACATATCTAAAATAAAGAGTATCTTCTTCCTTTGATCGTATGCAATCACCAAAGCTTCAAAATCGCCATGAATAGTAGCAAGGGAAAAGGGACGCCCGCAAACGTCGTCACTATACATGGCTTTGAGATTTGAATACAGCAAAAGCCGCTCGCCGCTGGGCAATGAGATTTAGGCCTCCTACTTAGTACATCTTTCCAAAGAAGCGCTTCAATAAAAAAAATGCATAAATTGAGGACACACATAGTAAGCATAAACTGGTTTGACCTAGCTTATGTGTTGTAGTAAAAAAAAACAGAGCCACTAGGATTCTCTTGCACGAATGTGGAAAACCTGTGTTCTTCGTCTGTCCGGTCACGGTCTAATTCGCTGGGCACTCGATAGCCAGGGCCGGTTGGCGTCTCTGGCGAACGATGGCACTGAACCTTGTTAAGTGCAGCAAAGCGACGGCCGACGGGCGCGCGGCCATGCACGCCAATCATGCAAACAAGTTTCTGTGCAAGACGACGAGGCATGGATGCTTTAACGCCTTTAAGAAAGGTCCTTATCCAATAAGAAGTGGCGCTGCTTTTTCACATTGTTTTTTTTCCCGTTCAGAGTCTCACTCTCTGGTGTTCTATTAGGGCATGTACAACAGTGAGACAACTGCTGTTGTACGTTCTTAGAATTTACAACACAGATGGTTAAACAGACAGCTCATACAACCCACAGACAGTTGTTGTCTGTTTGTCTATCTACAAATCGTTTAATGCTTGCATATATCCATGATCAATTATGAATATCATTTCTATACACCATTGTGTTGCTAATTGATCCAAAACAAATCTGGCAAAATAAATCGTATATTATATATAATGTAATATAATATATTTCATAAATCAAATATAACATACGATCTTCTTCTCCATAAATGAAATATGATTACAACATTTATGTCTAATTTTCTTTGTTTCCATAGCATTGCCATATGAGCTCAACAAGATCATTCCTAAGTTGTCTATGTGTTGGCCGTGCTCGGATAGCGGAAGTCCTTCTAAGTACAACCGCGAAGCATGGATTGGGGCTATCACTTGTATGCACTTCAGGCGGGAGCACTATCGTCGCACTTGCATTCTCATTCAAATCCAAGGAAACTCTAACCAATTCCTTCTCATCCTCCACTATCATATTGTGAAGGATAACACAAGCTTGCATTATGTTGATAACGTCCCCTGCTTCCATAACCTTGATGGTCGACGAACAATATCGAAGCCGGATTGCAATACGCCAAATGCGCATTCAACATCTTTCCTCGTTCCTTCTTGCTTCAATGCAAACAATTTGTCACCATCCATCTGAGGGGCTGATATTGTCTTCACGAAGACCGCCCATTCAGGATATATTTTATCGGTGAGATAGTAGCCCATATCATATTGTGTTCCATTTACGGTGTATTGTACCCTTGGAGCTTCCCCTTTTAGGACATTGATGAACGGTGTGACTTGTTTATGACATTAATGTCGTTCTGAGACCCGGCGGTACAAAAAAAAAGCATGCCATATACGAAGATTATGAGATGCCACTACTTCAAGGATCATAGTAGGAACACCTTTGTCACCACGTGTGAACATGCCTGTCCAACCTTTCGGACAATTCTTCCATGCCCAATGCATACAATCGATGCTTCCCAACATTCCAGGAAAACCACGAGCCTCATTTTCTTGTAAATTTTTTTCTAGTTCGTCGCTTGTAGGAGGGCGTAGGTACTCTTGACCAAAACATTCAATAATCCCTACGGCAAATTTTCCTAGAATCTCCAAAGAAGTGCTTGCGGCAATTTTTAGTACCTCATCAAGTTGGTCAGCCGGCGAGCCGTATGCTAGCATCCGGATTGCCACGGTACACTTCTGAAGGGGTGAATGTCCCTCCCTACCAGTTGCATCAGTTCTTCGGGTAAAATAAGGATCCCAATTGCTAAGAGTTTCCACGGTGCGCAGGAATAACGATTTATTCATCTGAAACCTTCTACGGAACATCTCATCGGTGTAGATAGGATTTGCAGAAAAGTAATTAGCAATAAGATCATCATGACCTGCTTCTCGTTGCCTTGGTATGTACCTCCTTGGTCCACTCTGTCGTCGTCGATGAGTCACAGATGATGTTCCTCCTTCGATGTCGGCCTTCAATCCATCTCCAATCTTCCTCACAAATTCTTCTACGATTTCATTCTTCGCTAGAAAATCTTCCATGGTGAACACCTCTGTAGGATCAAAGTCATCAGCTTTTGGTAGATAATCTTCATCAGCGGCTGGTGGAAGTGGTTCCATAATACTGGAGAAAAACAACTACAGATCCTATGCCAACTGAATGGAGTCAAGCCACCTTTTTATAATCTGCAACCTACGACTAGATGGAGATTCATACAGTCGGTGGACAGTTTGACAAGGAGACATGCAGACATTGGATAGTTTGACAAGGAGACATGCAGACAGTGGACTGTTTCACATAGGAGACATGCAGATAGATGACACTATAGGAACTGAAAATTCAAGTGACATGCAGGTAACTGAAAATTCAAGAGACATGCAGGTAACTGAAAATTCAAGAGACATGCAGGTAACTCAAAATTCAAGAGACATGCAGTTTGACACATTCACACAGGGAGACATGCAAATATTTGACAGGTTCACACAGCAGGTTCCATACGGCAGGTTCCATACAACTGATTACTAACAGAACTAGCAGAATGTTTCAAGGCACGGGACACAAGCAAAAGACAGGATTCAAGCTGTCCTGTAACAGAAGCAAAAGACAATGGTTCTGCAAAAGATAGAATTTCCCTGTTGTCCAGCAAAAGACAACTTACCATGGCTTTCTCTTGAAAAATTATCAGCTATCCTGTAATTGAAAACATTCAGTTATCAGTTATCAGCTGTCCTGTAACTGAAAAATAGAATTGCAGAATGTGTGCATACCTGACTAGGTCATTTTAGAAAATAAAGTGATCCTAAAACACTTCATGGCAGCAACACGCTCAGGTTTTTCTTCATCGGATATTAAACTTGTATCTTGAGAGATGAGTGTTGTAAGCCTGCATCATCTTTGATTCATTCTCAAGCCTTTTTGCCTATGTGGTCTCCTTAGCTATAAGATGTGCCAGTCTCGTGGTTTCAAGCTTCTCAGATGATAACTTCTTTTACAGTTCTAGTACCTTCATGCGGTTTGCATTTAAATCTTCCTGGATTTTGCTAAATTTGTCAAGCTTCTCCACATCAATCGTCGATTCATTTGATTTTCCATCATCATCCAAATTTGATCCTTTAGACTTCCTTTTTGCAGCAAGAGCGGCCTTTTTGTCCGCCTTCTGTCCAATAGGTCGCTCTGGCATTTCTTCAATATCATCGTCTTCATCCACTTCTCCTTCAATGTAATATGACTTCCTTTTACGTGCATTCCTTAGGTCTTCATTATATGTTTTCCACTTTGGCACCTCTTGGCATATTTTCTAAACATTCTTTAGGACAAAGGGCCCTAGCTTTGCCCTTTTGTTGTCTACCAAATAGAACTTGTCTGCTGCATCAATCCACATCTGATCAGAATAGCCACTTGTGAATAGTCTGCGAGCCTTCAAATATGCACATTCAAATAGATCAATCCACCTATTAATCTTGTGCCAACGATCCTTGGCTTGCTTTGTATTGCTTTTCCTATGTGACGGGATAGTCCTGTTGTACGACTTAACAACATCATCCCAATAGTGCTCGTTGTTCCTATTGGCTCCAATAGATGAGTCTGTTGAATTTTTCAACCAAGCACTCATCAATTTCTCATCTTCTTCTGGTGTCCACATGATCCGCTTCTCAATCCTGACATTCTCAATATTGCTATCAACGTCAATAGCCTGCTGGTCAGATAAAACTTTCACTTCTTGAGACAAACTTCCACCGTTGTTAGGCTGTGGTGCATCCATTGAGGCAAAAGTGACGCCAAAGTCAACAGGACTTGGTGCCTTGAAAGGTGCATAATGAGATGGAGCACCAACAAAATAAGAATTATGTGATAATTGGGGTTGGTTGTTGAATAAACCCATAAATCCACCACGGGATGTGTGCTGTTGTCCCTGCAAGAGTTATACACGAAATCAGTAATACTCATAGGAAACTAAGCAGTATATATTTCTTATCAAATTTCTTATTGAACTTGTATCCATTTGCTGGATATGTATTTATCAAACTAATAGACAAGTAAAACAGTAGCTTTCTTTTAAAACTCCTAATGTCATATTTTAAGAAGAGATAGAATCAGTTTTGTTCTATTTAATTTTGTGAAACCAGGAAAAGTGACAATTGTGAAGGGCGGGCCTGGTGCAAGTGGTAGAGTCTTACCGCTCTGTGACCGAAAGGTCCCGGGTTCGAGTCGCGGTCTCCTCGCATTGCACAAGCGAGGATAAGACTTGCCACTGACACCTTTCCCCAGACCCCTCACAGAGCGGGAGCTCTCTGCACTGGGTACGCTCTTTTTTTAGGAAAAGTCACAATTGTCTTCCTATTTATGTGCAGGAGAAACATGTAGCTCTATTGACTGAACATTCAGTTACCACTTATAGCAAAAATACTACACCAAAAACATAAGTAGAAATAATACCACCTCCTTATTGACTAAACACATTCAATTATCAATTCAGTGATCATGACTGAACACATTCAACATCAATTCTATTAAACTGAAAACATTCAGTAACTAGAAAAAAATCAGTGATAAGTGATTGTACACATTCAGTTATCAATTCTATTGAACTGAACAAATAGATCTTGCAGTTGCTATCCCAAAATATATTAGCACTATTAGTAACTGAAAATAGTATCAGTGCATACCTAATTACATACTTTTAGCAAAAAAACAAGCAGCAACACATGTAAACATATGAATTGGAAAATTAGCAAATATTTTTGGAATTACCATGCAGGATCCCAACTGGATTGATGCGCAAACAGAGGGGAACTTGGACTGATGGAACCACCACATCTGCCAAGTGAAGAGCCAACTACGCCAATGTATTGGTGAAGAATCGAAACCGCTGCCATGGATTGAGGATGAATTGAACCTGTAGAGGGGTTGGGTGCTGGGGACGAGCTGCTTCCGCAATCGACGAATGCCGATGTCGCGCCGTTGCTGAGACCGGCGAGGTTGGGTGCTGAGGCCGAGCCGCTTCCGTGAGGAACTCTGCTCGCAGCCGTAGCCGCCCCTGTCGCCGATGCCACTGCCGCCAATGCCGTCGCCTTGTTCTTCGAAGGAATCGCAGCCTTCCTCTGTGAAACCAATGGCATCTTGCTAGACATCGCCGGAGAGGGAAGGGGCGGCTCCCAGTGAAGGCGCGCAAGGGCGGCGGAGACTGTCGAGGCGGGCGAAAATAGCAAAGACGAAACATATATGGCGGGAGATTAGGCGCGCAATCTTCACCCAGCGCGCGCAGCAGGATCCGTGCAGCGTCGACTGGAGACGGCGGCTTCGTACAACGCATGGCTAGCCGTCTTCTTCGCCTAGGAGCACGAGCGCTTCATGTCATCTCACCACGCGACGGCTTCGTTATCTCTCCTCATTTACTGTAGCGAACTGGGGGGTTTCTGCAAAATTCGCAGCTCGGAGACGACGTCCAGCACGCCGTTGTACGTGCCCTTACACGTTTGAATTAGATCGATGGCCCCAAAACTTCGCAGCTTTTGGGGGCTTTGACTGCTGGCCGCACGCGTGGCACGGATGCTGCCGCCTGCCGATGACTATTATTATATATGCGTCACATTTGTGAGCACATTTTGCCATGGTTAATCCCTTGTTGAAAAGGATTTGCTTTTAGCCTTATTTGGCTACTGGACATATATATACAAGTGCCCGTTTAAGCACGGTGTGTAGTTTAGTTGTGATTCTTGTATGGACAACCAATCAACCATACAGGGAGGGCTCTATCGATCAAAAGCAATGCAAGTGACCTTTGTGTTCACAAAAATTTCACTACTCTACAAGCTACAATGCTCGTTCTGCACGTATATAATTGAGCACTTTTCTCCATCTAGCTACCAGACAAGATGCATAAAAGTTCTTTTTTTCCTTTCAACGAGACTTGGAAGTTTTCAGGTCATATGACATATACTAGTTATATTCTTGGTGAATTTTGTCATGTTTGCTCGATATATATTATTACTCCCTTTGTTCCAATATAAAACAGAGTAGATCCAATTGTGATTAGTGCAGTCTCAATGGCATATTTATTATTATGGTTTCTATCTCTCTTGATTAGGTTGACAGCTAAGCAAATTGCTAAGGTGACACTAGAGTTAATAAGGAGAGAGATTGCAAAACGAAGAAATTGTTTCTCCCTCGCGACTCGGCGTCCTCGCGAGGTTCAAGACGTGAAGAAACCATGAAAACAGCACTGGGAGGACACCGCTCGTTTCTTCGAGATCCGCTGCGCCGCCGCCGCCGCCGCCGCCTCGCGACTCCTGCTTCTTCCCTGTGCGCGCTCGCCCGGGTTCTCCGGCGCGCGCTCCTTTCCTTCTCCCGCGCATGCCAGCCGTAGAGTTCGCACGCCGCCGCCCGACGGTGCGGGAGAGAAACACCACCTGGATCGCCGGCTCCTCCATCCGCTTGGAGGGCTCCCCGGACATGAACAGCTGCACATCCCATGTCGTCCAGGCCACGGGCCACTGCGGCGCCGCGTCCGCCGGCGCTCCGCACGAGCTCACCCTCGTCTTCCGCATGCTCGGCCTTGCGTTCTACACCGTGCTGCCGCTTCTCTCGTAGCCGGAGGAGGCCATGGACCAGGTACGTCATTTGTTTCCTTTCCTATATCCTTGCTCATCGAACGGGCAGCTACTCGAACTAAAGTAATTGATCGATCCAATTCCATGCATATGGCCACACAGCTATACCAGACCAGCGCCGCCGCCTCCGTCGTGTGATGGAGGGCGATGAGAAAGAAGAGCAGGAGCAAGGTGGAGCAGAGGATCCGGTAGTAGTAGGGGTGACCGATGGCCCAATTTTAGTGTGGATCCTAGGATACAGAAGGTGCATTGTGAGTGACAGTTTCCCAGGTGATAGAAATCACTTTAGTTTCTTTAGTTTTTGCATTGGGACTGTCCTTCCTTATGGCAGTCTCAATGATGTATTGATAATGGTTTCTATTCTTATTAAATGACTTGTCATGTAGATAAAATGTTGACATATCAACGTAATTAATGAAGAAAGAGAGCAAAAATCTTAGAAATTATTCCCTCATGAAGAAATCAGGTCTTCATGGGTCTCATAAGTCAATGATTCAAGAGAAAACCATTTGAGAATCGCCATATGTGACATAGTTTTAAAAAAACCATGACTAGTGTTTGATAAAACTTTCTCAAATGGAAAAATGAGGGATCTCGTGCCACACTCCCATTGGAGTGTCTCATTTGAGCAAGTTTGACCCGATCAGAGTCAAATGAAAAAAGAGAGAGAAATTATGAACTCTAAATGACTTTAAATTGAAAAGTTTTAATTTGTTCAACTCATCAAGACACCTCCAACTTTCCATTTGAGATAGGTAGTTTTAAATTTCTATAGATGATTAGATTGTCTCAAATTGAAAAGTTTTGAATACCAAGTTTGTTCAGCTCTATGGAAACCTTATATAGGCTTTTTTTCATTTGAGAAAGTTTGAACAAAATATAGTTCAAATTTCACAAGTGTGTGACATTGAGAGATTCAAGAATGATAATTAGAATAAAACCTATCAAATTAAAGGCTATATATTTATGATTGTTGTTAGAATTTCTAAGATTCATTTTTCCTAATATGTCTCACGACAAATTTGAAGACTTCAGTTAGTGATACAGTAAAATAATAAGGTAAGATAATTTTAATCATCAAGATCTAGAAACAATATTTTGGTCAACTTTTGAGATAGTTTGGATGGTTCAAATTTGTGATTTTTAAATTTTAACGGACTAGTTTTCCATTTGAGAAAGTTTAGACGGTTTTAAATTTTGAAGCACTAAATGATTTCAAACGAAAAAGTTGTAAACAACAAAGTTTCATAACTTTTTGAGATCTACAATTTTTATTTTGATCATTTCTTCACAAGGTATTTTGAATAATATCCGGAATTAACGCAGCCAGGATAACGTCACCACCGGATTATCGAGAGAGGGGATCGGGGGCGGCATCCGGATGCCCCGCCTAAGATATCCGGGAGAAGGAAGAGACATTAGGTGAGGTAACTAGAGAAAGTGAGGAGGAAGATGCAATAACCGATCTCTTTCATCCATTTTGAACATTCAAATGAAACATTTGCAACGACACCGCCCGCCCTTCTAGGGCAGTTCTAATGATGTATGATGAAACACTTGAAATGGGCGTCTCAAACACTTGAAAAAAACATATGACAACACTTAAAAAGGCCATTGCAAAACATATGCAACATCAAATAAACACACTTACAACATATATATATATATCCAAAAAAATAGATGAAACATTTAAAACAGATGCAACATACGTGTACAACCATTGCAACATATGCAACACCCCAATCTACTTTTGGAACATCCATACGAAACACTTGCAATATACCTATGAAACATCTAAAACACTTGATAATATAATGCGAGAAACAATGCAACATGCAGTCCATCCCCTTGCTGTTTGGGAGAATGGAGGCTCGTCATCATGTGGAGTTCATCGGTATAAAGCTCGGCATCGAGAGAGGGGTGTAGCGGATTGGCGCCTGGCGTCGGGAGGAGAAGAGAGAAGGTGAGGCAAAGAAAGAGGAGGAAGTCGATCTACTTTTGAACATTCAAATGAAACATTTGCAACGACATGCGTCTAAATACAGATGAAACACTTGGTGGTCTCAAAGCGTGACATTGTGCTTAAAAGGTGAGGTCAAATAAACACACTTACAACATATATATATATATGTCCAAAAAATAGATGAAATATTTAAAGCAGTGTGCAACATGGGACGAGTTCCATCCAATCTACTTTTGGAACATCCATAGAAACACTTACACAATATACCTATGGGCGAAACACTTGAAATATACGCCCAACATGCAGCCACGCTGGAGCGTCATGTGGAGCGTATAGAGCGCGACGATGTGTAGACCTCGGCATACTGGTGAAGAAGCAGGCTCCAGCCCGAGTTGTGTGCGGGTGAGGTCCGCATGCTGTAGGTGGGCGAGTTCCATCCAGCCCCGGCTGCGGCGAGCTGGGCAGCCTCTGCCCTCGTCGAGATGATGAGCGTGGGCAGCCGCGGCGTGCACGGGATGAGCGCGGGCGGCCTCCGCCCCTGCCGGCTGCCGCGATCTCCGCGGATGGAGTTCGGTGTTTTTTTTTTAGAAATTACGGTGACGAGCAGATACGGGGGACATTTGGGCTAGCGTGGTCCTGCAACGAAAGCGTCCAGGGGACGGACGCCCTGTTCCAACAATTACTGGAGAAACAAGGATTCCTCTGAGATGGATAGTGCAAAGCGTAGTTCTTTGGGCGACAACTGTCCTTATCCAAAAGTAAATGAGAATCGAATAACTATAGTAGTTGAAAATAGTCTTATATGATGACTCTTATGGTTATCTTGGACTTTCTTGCCACGTACGGGTCCAGCGGTAGATCGATCTCGATCACAAAGCAGGAGAGCAACGGAAGAAGTGGTAGGGGCACTTTGTTGCTTTGCTCCGACAATTATATGGCGCTGTAGGTCAGAAAAGAACACCTGATTGTGTTTCTCTCTCTCTCCTTTATTTGTAAGTCAGGGACAGCCGCAGAGGTAGAGAACTGGGTGGCATCGTCTCATTTTTCAAACAAAATAAAAACTGGTATGTAGCAACCTGCACTACTATAAAAATAATTTCAGAAGACCAGATATTTTTATTTTTAGAGGCAAATAAGAAAATTTGATGTCTCCTAAAATCTATAATCAATTTCGAAGACACCCAATCTACTTTAGGAGGCAATTTAATTTTTTTTAAAACATCTCTATAAATTGATTAACATAGGCGGGCCTCTTAATAGGCCCGTCTCTGAAAATGTTTCTATTTTTAGAGGTGGGCCTATTAATAGGCCTAGCCCATTACCAATTTAGGTGGCCCATCTCAACCTGATATCGAATTGAGAGTATATATACATGCACTTAGGGTATCTTCTCATCCTCACCTTTCTCTCGCCATCCACAGAGTACTGGCTGTTGCCTCCTCTTCTCTCTATCTTTTACAGATTGGTGCCGCCTCCCCTCCCCACACACGACCGCCACACCATGCCCCTCTTCGGAGGAGGGGACCGCCGCCTCTTCGGGTACCCAATGAGTTGGAGCTAATAACCATCAAAACGTTGACGCTTCCCGGTCCTCCACAAGAACGCGTCGGGGACCTACACTTCTTGCCCAATGAGGTGGAAAGATAACCATCGAACGTTGATGCTTCCGACCCAAGAGGGCTAGACTCACTTCTTCGCCCGACGGTTGAAAGATTGGTTCCGCCCGATGACCGATGGTTAGACTCGGCTCGCCTCGATGACGGCCGAGGGTGGCCCGCCTCGCCCGACGCCTGCGCCCTGCTCCTTCATGATGATGAGCACGAGGTAAGACATGACATTCGAGTCAACCGCAGTACCGAGGACCATACCTGCACGCCTGCAGAAAGGTACCGTCAGGGTACGACGGGACGGGCGTGTTAAGCCCTTCCAGGCATGGCAGAGCCCGAACAGTGTTGTAGGTGCCGACTTTGGTCTTACAGTGTTATGGGCGCCGCCATCAGCCATCGCACGGATCCTAACATGAGCATACGCCAACCACTACAGTCCAAGAAGGAACTCACGTCATCAACAGTAACAGGCGTATAGTCACTTCCCCGTCTACTCCCCGCAGAGTCACGGCTCGGCACCCTGACACACCGCACCGTCCGCCGGGGGAGGATGGGACGTGACCACTCACTAAAACAAAGCCAGAGCCTGGCCCTATCAGGATCAGCGAAACATGCTATCCCTGGCGTGGTCTGCCATATCAGCAGGGCAGGTTCAAGGGAAAAGGAAGACCCGACACCTTCAAATAACCTTCTCTACCTTTGATTTTTTTTCTCTTTCTCCCATCTATAAACCCTGCTCCCCCTGGTCTATAAAAGGGAGGGCAGGGCACCCCACTAAGACGATGGATCATTTTTGATAGACAACACATCACACAATGCACAGCCGAGCAGCAACCGAGCTCTTGGCATCCTTTCAACTCTTCCATCAGAGACTTGGGACTTGTCCCTCTCTTGGCCGTTTGTACCCCCTACTACAAACCTTTTTCGGTGCTAATAACACGAGCAGCACAGCAGACTGGACGTAGGGACATTCCACCCGAACCAGTATAAACCTTGTGTCCTTTAGTGCACCATCCGGGCCTAACACGCAATAAATATAAATTTACTAGTTGGTGTTTATTCGAAACACCGACACGACCACCACACCATGCCCCTCTTCGAACAAGGCGGTCGTCGCCTCCTCTTCTCTCCACCGGAGACCGGTGCCTCTATAACGCCCCAGAGTCCGCCAAACGGCTCAGATCCACTCTACACGCTGAGTGAACCACACCTACCCACTTATGCTTTTATCCTCGCTTTATGAGCTAAATTTCAAACTAGACCGGATGTCACATACAACCCCTCAAAGGGCCCGACGTCCTCGTCGGCCCAACACACCTACAAACCAGACAAACGATGACCAGAAATGTTCCCTCTTAGTTCAGGCCCTATCCCGCAAGCGCCCGTGGCCACGAATAAACCCACCATAGTGTCTCATTAACAAGCACATGGGCCACTATATATGAGCTAAATTCCAAACTAGACCGAATGTCACATACACCCCCTCAAAGGGCCCGACGTCCTCGTCGGCCCAACACACCCACAAACCGGACAAACGATGACCAGGAACGTTCCCTCTTAGTCTGCGCCCCTGACCCGCATGCGCCCGTGGCCATGGAGGTCGAATCTGATACCATTTGTAACGTGCACCTGACCCGCACGCGCCTGTGGCCACGAAGGTCGGATCTGATACCATTTGTACGCACCCGTGGCCACGGAGGTCGAATCTGATACCATTTGTAACGTGCTACGCGCCCGCGGTACGAAGGTTGGATCTCGATACCATTTGTAACGTGCACTGACAAGACGCGCTCGTACGTGTACGAAGGTCGATCGATACCATTTGTAACGTCCGAGTCCAAACGGCTCAGATCCACTTTACACGCCCTGACCCGCACTAGTCCGTGACCCTGTCCCGCACGCGCCCGTGGCCACAAATAAACCCCACCATAGTGTCTCATTAACAATCACATGGGCCACTATATATGAGCTAAATTCCAAAGTGGACCGGATATCACATACACCCCCCCTTAAAGGGCCCAACATCCTCGTCGGCCCAACACACCCACAAACCGGATAAATGATGACTAGAACGTTCCCTCTTAGTCCGCGCCTGTGGCCACGAATCAGAGTCTAGACGGCTCAGATCCACTTTACACGCTGAGAGAACCACACCTAACACCATCCCACTTACACTTTTGTCCTCGCTTCACGTAAAAGGATTAACCTGGGGATGGTGGAATGGACTCTAGAAGCCTTATAAGTTAGTCTAACCCACCTTGAACAATCAAGGTGGGACTAACCGCCCCCCAACACACACAATGTCTCATTAACAAGCACATGAGCCACCATGGGCCAAATTCCAAACTGGGCCGGATGTCACAGCCTCCCCCTCCCACACACGGCCGCCACCACGGAGATCTGAGCACTGCACGGAAGTAGAGCACCGCACAAGGAGGCAGCGACGCATGGCCTGATGATGGAGGTCTAGCAATCGAGGCCTCGGCGTTGTTAATGTGTAGAAAACTTGAACCATAGTCTAATGGGGATGGATTTGTGTTACCTTTGGATCTCCATTGGACCCGAGGCAGCCAAGCTACTAAGCTAGCCTGTTGGCTGCCGTCGTGCCGGGGCAGGCGAAGTCTGCTGGGCCTAGGTGCCGCACTGCAGGCCGCAGCTAGCCGCCTACCGGAGGAGTCTCGCATGGTCGGCGGCAAAAGACGAAGAGGTGTGGGGGCAGGATTTCGTGAGGCTGGGAGAGCGCTATGCGGGGGTGGGTGGAGAAATTCTTTCGTTGAATATTTTTTTCATAAATTGAATCAGAGCGTAGGTGAGGATCGAATCAAGTTGGGTTCGGATAGAGCATTGCACGGGTGTGGGATCGGGGAGGGGCAGGGGTGTTGAAGCCAGGCGTGGGATTGAGTTGAAGCCTTTGCGGGAGAATTATGAGCCATTGACCTTAATGAAGTTAAAATCCTGGGTCAGAAAAGCTGAACTATCTCAGGAGGAACATAAATGTGGGGTGTACCAAGTTTTATTTGAATTGGTCTTTTATAGTGTAGATATCGACTATAGTCGAACATAAGCTCGTATAGTCGAACTGTGTAACAGTCTCTAAACTTTTTACGTGGAGACATTTGCGTGTGCCGGCGGCCTGATCCCGGTACCTTGGTTTTTGCCTGCTACGTGGCACATACAAAGCGTGCTTCTTTTGTCGACAAGTGTCCTTATCCAAAGTAAACTGGAGATATATCCAATAATTGAGAAGTGTCCTTATCCAAAGTAAACTGGAGATATATCCAATAATTGAGTCTATGTAAAACGGGTTCAATTCTGATTCACACTCTTATGGTCGTGTTGGACTCATGCCACGCAGCTCTCGGTCACAAAGTAAGGCAACAACGGATGAAGTGACAGGGGGTGCACTTTCTTTTATTTCCTCTGATGATCGGCGTATATGAATGTGGGGAACATGCAGGTCAAGTAAAGCACCCATCATCGCGTTATCTGCCACGACTTGTATGGATATACTGAAATTCATGCCAAGGTGGAAGAAATTGGGAGCAGGTGGAACTTGGTGGCATCACCTAATTTTCAATCAAACAAAGATTAAGTAGAAAATTGTTTTTGACCAACAGTGAATGCACCTGCCTCCATTGTTCTTTTAGCATTCTTGTAAGGAAACATATCTAAGGCCTCCTTCAGAATGCCAGATTTTCATTTTCCTAAATCCAACAGTTTTTCTGTGAAATTCCTGTACGTTTTCGTGTAATTTTAACATTTTCAAGAGGGCTAATAAGTATTCTAACCTGAAGTCTGGAATTCCACCCGTTTTTTGTGATTCCAATTACCAATTTGACAGATGATGTTTGACAACCAGTAGTTACCAAGTTGGTAGCAAGCTTGATAGATACTAGTAACCATAATAATTACACATATCGGCGTCAATTTAATTAGTTTACTGTACACTCTAAATTTTATTAGGCGGTGTTCATGTGTGGAGACATGTTTTAGTTAAGCTTTGTTCAGGGGTTTCTGCTCCTCGGGCATATGCTTCATGCCTGATTGGGTATTTCTCATTTAGTCAGTGACATTACATTTGCACAAAGGTAAATCTTGTAACAGTGCAAGGTGCAAGTGCAAACTGAAAGTGTAAACTGCAGAGACGAAGCAGCTGCAAAGCAAGAGGACATCTGGGCATCATCCAAGCGCCCCCACACCACACCTGCTCTCGCATCGTCCATTGGAGCTGGAGCTGGGCCATGTCCAGGCAATAATGCAGAGCCACCATTATCTACCCAGCCGGCCAGCCATGAGCCATCAATCAACGGCCTGTTCGTTTGGCTGTGATTTATCGTAAACGATCGTAAATTTTAAAACGGAATAATATTTTTCTCTCACACAAACCAGCCAGCAGTACTTCTTCACAAACCAGCAATGAAACGAACCAGCCAACCGAATATGTTGCAAATCAACCAGCATGAGGGCGAACATTCTTTAGCTGCTGGGTGTTAGCATATTGGCCTGGTTCGGTTTACCTTAAAAGCCAATTTATTCGATTTTTTTTAAACTAAAATAATATTTCTTATAATAACTCAGGTTCAATTAATTTCAGCCAGCGAACGGGGCTTTAAATACGTGTCGCATTAGGCTCAGCTCCGACAATCCTTTTCCCGGCCTTTAAATACGTGTCCCATCTCCCACATTCTTCCACCAGACTTGAGACAGCAAGGATAGTTCTGCTTCCACGCACATAGATAGCCACAACCACGAGGCGCAGCTGCCCCCGCTAGCTACTGGCCTCCCCCTCCTCACCTGACCTTGTCCGTCCAGCTCCACGGTCGGTCGCAGAGAAGAAAGACAGAGCGAGAAGCAATGGCGGCCGGGAAGAAGCAGCAGCAGGAAGAGGGCGCGGTGTCTGCCGCGGCGACGGAGCCGCCGAGCGTGGCGCGGCGGCTGTGGCGGGTGGTGCGCGCCGTGCTGTACATGCTGCGCCGTGGCCTGCCGTCGGGCCGCAAGCTGGCCATGGACATCCACCTCCTCCTCCACCGCGGCAAGATCGCGGCGGGGAAGGCGCTCGGCGACCGCTTCCTCGCCTCCCACCACGGCCACGGCGCCTTCTCCTACGCTTCCGGCGGGGCCAGTGTGGCGGGGCCGTTCTCGTGCGGCGCGCTGGACCCGAGCCTGGCGGTGCACGAGCCCTCGCGCAGGCGGCGCGAGGTCGAGTTCAGCTGCAGCAACACGCCGTCGTCGGCGTCAGGCGGCGGGGGGCTCGGCCTCCTCGGCGCCGCCGCCAGGCGCCGGCGCCGACGCCGGAGCAGCCGCCAGCAGCAGCACCGGGACGAGGCGGAGGCTAGCAACGGGTACCTGATGCAGTACTACAGCGGCTACGACGCGGCCGAGGTGGCGCGGGTGCTCGAGATGCTCAGCGACGAGGACGACCGCCGGCTCTTCAGCGACGACGCCGTGCCGGTGCCGGGCGCCTCCTCCTCCGCGACTCCATCGCCGGCGCTGCGCCTGGCGGCGGCCGCGGGCAGCAGGCAGCAGCAGTCGCGCATCGCCGCCACCGGGTCGTCGCCGGCGGACGGCGGCGCTGCCCAGGTGGACCGGCGCGCGGACGAGTTCATCCGGCGGTTCTACGAGCAGCTGCGCGCGCAGAGGAGCGCCGCGTCCACCCCCGACTACTACGGCTACGCGGCCTCCGGGGCCAGCCCGACCCCCTACGGCGCCGCGCGCGCGCCTCGGGCCGTCACCGCCGGCATCGCGTAGCTCCCCAGTCCCCAGCAACACTTGGCTGGCCGGCCGACGGGCATCTGCATCGATTCGACAAGGACGTCGTCCGTGGTCCGTTCCAATGTGTCAGCCAAGCTGCATGAGCCCCTTCCTCGTGTTCACTCTCCCGGGTCCCGCCGTCCTGCTTCTGCTTGTACACCCAACCCACCAACCGCTAAATCATGTGTCCCTTCACGTGTTGCGCTGCACGTAATCTTGTTTCTTTGCAAGTAGATAAGGACACGAGTTTTTTTTTCTGTCCCTGCTCTTATGGAGTAATACTAGCAGTATACAATGGATCGAGTATATTAGTAGTGTCTGTTACCATCTCCCATAATCTACTACTTGTTGGTAATTCTGTTGATTCGCTAGCTTGTACAATGAATGAAAGGAGTTAAATATGTGGCATTCGTTATTAGGAATAATAACAGGGGGCAATGTATATGCCATGTCGCACGCAAGGACAAGCGGCCACCAATTTGCACAGTTGGGATTTTGCGCGGGTACAAGCAGTGGACACTGGCCTTTTAGTACGTTGGTTGAGGTGCGTCGGCTCGGCTGGTACACCAATATTCGTTAGCGCCCGGAATGCGGAATCATATCATATTCATATCCAATCCATCCACCGGTCCTTCTTTATAGCGTGCTAGGGTACATGGTTATGGTTGCAACCTGTATGTGTTGACCGCGTACAAGAGGACGGGTTAGGCTGGGGATTAGTCTTCATGTTGACTGAAAGCGTCAAACGTTACTAAAAACTCTGCAAAGCTGTGCGATTAGCTAGTTTGCTGTACTCATGCTAGGTTTGGGACCTGTATTGATTACATAGATCCATCATGTCATGCCGTCGCTCTCCGTTCTACACGGTAGGAGTACTGTAGTCTCATTTTGTTGTTTCTCAACAAATCCCAACAAAAGGTATGTTCGGCTGATGGTTTCTGCGGATGATAATTAAGCCGGCTGGAACTGATTTGCTGCAAGAAAAAACACTGGCTGATAAGCTTCCGGCGTGCACATGTAGGAGTAGTACAGGGCTATGGGGCTTGACCTAGCAAGGTCGGTCCATGTCATGTTTGGTTTCGTCAACTCGACGGCCGGGTCGTAGATAAAAGGAGCACCAGGGTGTATTACTGCGTCCCAACTATCATTCATTGGTGAGATTGCAAAGGCCATTATTTGTTGATCCCACACAGATATAAATACGGAGTACCTGATGATCTGTGCAGTGGAGTGTACCACTCTGGCATCTCACATCTGAGATGGGCAGCGCAACGCCATCGCCACCACAAAGGAAAACAGGGTGGTGCTCTTTGGTTTCATCTGTACACTAGTAGATGGTTTCGTTTCCCTGCAGGTGGATGGGCCATCCGTTCGGACAGATTCAAAGCCCGGCCACGCTGCGGTGCCCCCCGACGCCCGGTCGGCCTATGACATGCGGGACCACCCGGTCTAAATCCCAGTTACGCCATCAAATCAAACAGGGTAAAGCCCACTTGCAACTCGTGTTTGGCAGCATGCACGAGATCGTGAGTTTAGCTTCAAGCTCCGATTGGATCTGGCCCCTAAATTAACGAGCTATGAGCCCAGGCACAACAAGAGTTGCGCGTCCTGCTACGGACTACGGTGACGGTGGACCGGTGGTGCCAGTGCCACCACGTACTGTCCCTCATCTCTTCTCCTGCCGTTGAACAGGTCGCGTACGTTGCATGCAGGCGACCAAGCGCTCGCTCTTCGCCTCTTCCCTGCCTCTGCCTCTGCTCTTCTTTATTTGACATGCATGGCATTGGCATGACATGCGCGCGCTTGGACTGGACCGGACCGGTGCTAGTGGCAGACCGGCGAGATTATTAGCTACCGCAGGCTGACTCGATCGCTGCGGCCATAAAGCTGGCTGGGTTCGTACTGGACTGGAGTCAAGCCAAGCTTCACCAATTTCCTACCTTTTCCCGCCCGGCCGACGACGCTACGATAGTAGTAGACAGGCTATGGCATCTTTACCAAGTACCAACAGTGCTACATGTTCCCTCCATGGTTCCATCTACTACTTATCATAGAGTAGGAGCATGACATGTTTTAGTTTCGGATGGGTTCCGGCCGTGTTCAGCTCCTATTCATAGATGATAGTATATTCTATAGCTAGCTATAGAATAAGTTACTTTGTAGCCACTTTCATTTACGATATTTTTTATACTTATTTTACGATAAAGTGAATACATATTTACGACAATTATGTTACTATAACACATGGGGATATTTACCATAACATTACAGTAAACCACTTAATAAGGAGTTACTATAATCATATAAATTAGCATAATAATTAGGCTTAAAGTGGTATAATAATAAGTTATATATATATATATATATATATACACACGATCTTGTTTTTATTTCATGAGAATAAGTTATTCCACGTTTGAGTTACGATAATTACTATACTAATTTACGAGATTATGGTAACTCCCTCATAAGTGATTTACTATAGCATTATGGCAAATATCATCTTGAATTATAGTAACCCATGTATTGTAAATGTGTATTGTCATTATCATAAATTGGTATAAACATTATCGTAAATAAGATGGCCATAAAATAAATTATTCTGTGTCCAGCTGCAGAATAACCTTACCATATGTATACTCCCACGTGCAAGTAGTTACTCCCACGTGCAAGTATACGCACGCTGAGGGTCCTTCCAGCCAGTCCAGCAGACGTACAGGTTAATGGATATCTGGAGGATCCAATTAGGCATGCCGCATGCTTGTAACAAATTTAATTAATGAATAAATAAAATAATATATACGGCTGTACAGTCGCCGTGATTCTCGCTGGCCGTGATTCACCTATACGATCGTAAATTTTTAAACGGAATAATATTTTTCTCTCAGACCAAATCAGTCAGCAGTACTTTTTCACGATCCAACAACGAACAAGCCCAGCCAAACGAACAGGCCGTTAAGCTTGCTTGTGTATGAGTATGAGTACGACTACATACTAATCGGCCAGCAATATATGTGTTATCTAACATAAGGAGTACCTGTATATATTTTTTAGAATGGAGTATCGTACATACTTTTTAGAATAGTATTTATACATACTTTTTGAATACTTTTAGAATAGTATTTATACATACTTTTTGAAATGAAGTATCTATACATACTTAGTAGAATAGAGTATTTATACATACTTTTTGGAATGGAGTATGCAGACATACGCCATAGTATAAGTGCATACTTAGACCACACGATCGGAGTATATGTGCATACATTCACGTATGGAGGTATACAAAACAACGAGTATGTATTCATACTATTTTGAGAATAAAACATACGTGCATACTTTTTTTTAGAAGGGAGTATGTGTATATACTTTTCTCGGCAAAAACAAATTTAATTAACGAATAGATAAAATAATATATACGGCTGTACAGTTGCCGTGATTCTCGCTGGCCGTGATTCACCTATCTGTATTACTATAAACTAACTGGCCTGGCGGCCTCCTGCGTTCCTAGGAGGAGGGAGTAACTACTCCTAGGGAGTAGGAAATTTTTCCATATATATATATATCTTATTTCTACCGCGTTCAACCAGAAAAACATGTGAGTAAGAGGTCATGGATCGTTACACTTACGCGCAACGGAGCAGAAGAAGAGTTAATTAAAGTAGTAAGATCCAACATCGTGCACACCGATATAGTGAAAGTAGGTGTACCTCCTACCACGTCCACTCACGTCGGCTCGTCTCATGTTTGTCACCGATCAACGCCCCAGCAGCAGCAACAACGTCTCCACACGTGCGGAGATAGAATGCTAGGCGCGCTGTGCTAGCACTCTTGGTGCGCGTCCAAGAGGGAGAGAGGGGGGCTTAAGCTTAGGCTTAGAATAACCACGTTCTATTCTACATGGGGGTGTTGGTACATTTATATAGGGAGAGAACTCCTATCTCTACATCAACCTAGCAGTATGGAACTAATTGACGTTGCGTGTTTCACTTTCACTCATGGGCTTTAAATGGTAAAGTTGCACTCATAAAAAGCCCATTAGTACTATATATTTTAGACCACTTATGAATTCAGTCCATAATGAGCATGATTGCCTATTGGGTACATCACCAACATGTGTGTTGTTGTTCTATGTAAGATTTGAGGTTTAAATTTCACCCGGTTTAAAAAAGAGACCTATATTAATTTTTTATGAAAAATCAGATCTAAATGCAATGCATGTGCCAAATATAAAACCGATCGAATTGAGACCTCAAATATTGTGTGGATCGTAACATGTATGGTCGTCTATATATATAAGTGCGGTGCGCAAAGGTTGAAAATGTTCGATCCTGTTAGTACCGTATCCACATGAGACGGGACGGAAGCCTACCGCTCTGAACAATTCAACGTCACATAAAAGAGAAGGCCCACTAATATAAGCGAGTAGCGACCCAGTCCATATTTCCGTTCCATAATAACACGTGAAGCAACCTTCGGGTTTGTGGTTACCGGCCGCGCGCGGAGACGAGGGGCAAGGTTTTGCGTTTTCGCTAGCCCTCCCTCTATATATGGTGTACGTACGGGCAGGCGCTGCGGGCATGAAACAGAAACACGAAGCTTTGGCACCACGCTCAGGATCGACCCTCGACCAGCCGGTTTCAAGCAGAGTGAGCACGACCACGCCATCTACCATCTACCGGAGTGGTGGTGGCGAACACGTACACGACGGATCGTTGATGCCTTGCTGGTTGGCATGTACAACGTCGTTGACTAGATTCGTTCGAGCACACGATCGAGAGCGAGGTATAAAGGCACTCCCAACGCAAAAACTAACGTAGTTTCTGTAGCTATTTTGTACTGCAATGCAACCTACGCTGTCCAGACCTGTGTACTAGTATCACATAATCAAAGTGGGCGGCGGGGAGGCGATTGTTACTGTTAGTCAAACGCAGTACGCTGCCCAGATCGTCACGTTGGATGACAATGACATGCATGGATCGGAGGAGCGTCGACTG